TTGAAGAAGGCTGTGCATGTATGTATGTGCCTCGGTAAGAAAACCTACTACAAAGGGGAGCACATAGTAGGTGCTTAGTAAGTGGTTGTTCAGAGCAGGCTGCTGCAGGCTGGTCATTCAGTCAGCATGTGGGGCTCTGTAGCCACAGCACGTGATGAGTTGCTGGTACTCCTGTCTGGTTACCAGGTTATGGACCCTCCTGTGCCAGCTCAGCCCTGTGGTGACAGGGGAAGCACAGGCTCCCAGGTGTAGGGTGAGGGCAGTAGACCAGGCTCTTCCAGCCCAGGGCTCAGTCTGGGGATGGGAACAGGGTCTTACTGGTTCTAGTGACTGCTAGGACCTGCCCCCTCGCCTTGGACTCAGGGAACCCTGGGCCAACAGAGTCCATGCCTCCAGGCCAGGCCCTGCCATCCCAGGGAGCCTTCCCAGGCTGGACGGTAACCTCCCTGCCTTTTAAGGACAGGCTCTGTCTCCCCAGGGTCCCTGGAGCCACAGGGCGGCTGCATTCTTCTCCCTTCCCCTGGGACCCCAGTTGGGCCAGGAGTTGAGCGCTGGCCACAGAGCAGCCGGTTCCCAGGCCTGGAGGGTGAGGGTCTGGGGGAGTTGGCTCTGCTGGGCGTTCTGGGTGGGGCACTGGATTCTCAGGAGGTCTGGCCCTTTCTCTGCCTGTGTGCCAGGACCCGTGGGCAGATTCTCAGCACAGCCTCCAGCACCTGCCCGGCTGTGACAGCAGAAGCATGGTTGGCACGCTGTGACCACACAGTCCACAGGTCCTGCCAGCCCTTAAGTGGGCACCTCTGCTGTGGAGACCAACTTTATCCAGGATTCCTCCCCTTCCAGGTTATGGCAATGGGCAGTGGCAAGGCCCCACATAGGAAATTAAGGGTTTTTGTTTTGTTTTGTTTTTTGAGACAACCCAGCATTTGGGTAGAAGGAGTTTGTCCCATTTTGTAGATGGGGAAAACTGAGGCATGGAGTAGAAGGTAAGGGATTTGCGTGGTCAGAGGAAGGAAACAGAATGGCTCAGGAAGTCCCTATCTCCTCACCCCAAATGTCAGGAGTGTCATCTGCCATCAGCCTTTAATCACTGCAGGTGCATCCTTCCCTGTTCAGCCATTCCCTGCTCCTGCCCCTGGAACTGTTACATTCACCCCCGCTCTCCCTAACATCTCCCCACATTCTCACTTGATCCTTGATCCTTACGGCAGCCCTCTGAGGAAGAGATTCCTTCTCCCCACTTCTGGATGGAGAAACTGAGGTCTGGAGAGTTGAATGATTTAAAAATCTCAAGGTTGCATGTTTTATAAGGAATGGGGACTAGATTACAGCTGGGCACCCTTCACACTGGGCCCTCCTGCCTGTTACCATCTACAGGGGGGATGGTCTTTCGTGCTCACTGCTGGGGCTCCTTCCACTGCCTGCATGCATGCTCGACTGCCTGGCCTGTTACCCCAGCAGCCCCCTGGCAGTGTAGGCATCTCCTCCACAGCATGTCTGAAAGGGTCTCCCAGTCCTACTTGCACGCACGGGCAGAGACTGGGCGCTAACTCCCGCTAGGACCAGCCTGGCCCATGTGGAGACAGCTCTGCCTGAGCTGTCAGCCTCTCCTGGTCCCGGCCCTGCCCCCTCTGAGGCTCACTTTCCAGGCTCTACAACCCCACTTTCAGCTCACCCCAACCATAGCTGGGGATGTCCTCCCCATGCCAGGAACTTGTTGATAATTGCAGGTTTTGTTTTGGGGTCTCCTCCCTCCTTGAAATAATGGGGAATTTACTAACCTTCTGTGTCACTAACCTTTTAAGAGAAAAAAGGATGGGGTTGAAAAACAGCTCGTGGGTTGGCTGGAAGGCTATCAGATAAGGCTGTGGCCCGGGAGCTGGGACAATGTCTCCTTGTTTCTGCTCCCTGGCCGCACAATGAACTGCTGTTGGGACCTGGCTGTATCTCCAGCAGCAGCTCTGCCCCTGCCCCTGCCTGTGGTGTGCCCGCGTTTCCTGGGCTCCTGGGCAGGGGCGCCCTGCCCCAGCCAGGCTCTCTAGCTCTTTCTCTCAGACCCAGTGAACGAGTGGGTCCCAGTGAGCAGGTCAGCTGGCTGTGGGCCTTTCTCTGCCCATCACCTGTGGGGAGATGGGAAGACCAGCCTTGTGCTGATGGAGTTAGTCTTGGACTCTGCTGAATGCGGTTCAAATCACACGCGGACTTTGCCACCCGCCACCTGTGCAATCTTGAGCGAGGCACCTGACCTTTCTGAGGTGTGGAACCTCAATCCTATGGGTTGTTGTGAGGATTAATTAGGTGAGGAGACAGGTGGGAACGTGGTGTGGGGTGGGGCTCAGCTACACGGCCTGGGTGTGAGCGCTTGTCCGCCTGGAGGGACCAGGGACAGGGTGGTGGTGGTGGCTTTGGCCTGGGCTTTAAAGTTGGAGAAAGGTTTTTGTGAGGCAGAGAAGGTGGTGGGAAGGTAGAACGGGTTCAGGAGAGAACTTGGGCGTGGATTCCAGAGCAGAGGAAGTTAGGGACCAGCTAGGAGGAGCATCTTTCCAGGGTGTGTTGTGAGAGCAAGTGCTGAGGAGACATTTCAGGGCGGGTTCACCACCAGGTCGAAGTGTGGCGACTTGATTATAGGCCTTGAGGGGATTGCAGACAGATGGAGTGATGCCCGTTGGGTAGAGGGGTCTGGCTGGAGGGTGCCGCTGTGGCCTAGCAGCGCTGGGGAGATGAGGAGGCTCAGGGCTGCCCGGCTGCAGCCAGGATGCCTCAACAAGAGTTCACCCAGGAACCTTCCCCTGAGGCTGGGGCATTTTTGTGGGGCAGGATGTTAGGGAAGGAAAAGTAGGCATTTGCAGCTCCAGGCTCTAGCCACTTGGGGGTCAGGCCTGGGCCTGCTGGGCTCCTGGCCCGTCAAACCAGGGCCCCTCGGTCTCCTGGGCAGGCCCAGTCCACTGAACTGTGCCTCTCTCCTCTCTCCAGCCCACCAGCTCCTCTGTGTGCACTTCATGGGTCCCTACCCCACTTGCTCTGGTTCCCAGGATCTTTACCTGGCTAGGGTTTCTGGGCTGGGCCCAATCCTGATCTGCAGGCTGGGTTTCCAGCCCTACATGGCAGGCCCAGGACTGTGGGTCCCTGCTGTTCCTGGCCTGGTGACTTCCCAGCATCTGAGGCAGGTCTTCTCTTGAGCCCCAGGAGGAAGGGAGGCTTGGAAGCTGCCCCAGGAGGTGGGCAGCCTCGGTGGAATATTGAATGAGGAGATATCAGGCCCACCCAAGCATTGGTCAGTGCTGTGATGGGGGAGCAGGTGGAGGGCTTGTCAAAGGCACCTAGCACGGGGTGACGTGTTCGGCCAGAGTGCTTGTGTGTGAGCCACTTCTTCCCAGAGAGGGCGCTGGAGGAGCAGAGGCACCCCAGCTCGGATGCTGAAAGTTCCAGATGGGGGCCACGAGGAGGTTCGGGTGTTTCTAAGTTGATTTTCTCGTAGCTTCCCTGTGGTCTGTCCGTTCCCTTGGAGCTTCCAGAAGCTCTGCCTGAGGACATCAAGACAGTGCAAGTGATCTGAGCCCTGCGAGTGCCAGCTTCATGCTGGGCCTGGGGGAGCAGGGGCAGGGAGGCCGACTGCCTCTTGGGTTGGGCTGTGGGGGCCCCAAGGGCTGGGATCCCAGTTCCAGCTCTCATTCCCATGCCTCGCCCAGCACAGGACTCCATGTCAGGGTGGGCTGCTGCCATGGTGACGTGAGTTTGGGGGTGGAGGCTGGCCTCTGTCGGCCTGTGAGTCTCTGTGAGCAGGACCTATCCGCTGTTCTCTGAATTCCGGATCACACCCATAGTAGCCTCAGCCTCCCTCACTCCGGCTGGCCGTGGAGGTAGTTACAGGTGTGTGTCCAGCAGGGAAGTGTGTGGTGACCCCGCCAGGCCTCACTGACATGAGGGCAGGGAGAGATTGATGGATTGGAGGCCAGGAGCTGCGAGGGAGAGGGGTGGGGAGATCTGGGTGAGCTAAGCCCAGGAAGGGTTTTGTGCCAGTGCTGGGGTCTGGGCCGTGGACGTGAATAGGGTCAAGCCTGTGGCCGTGAATAGGGTTAGCTTCCATGCCAGAGGCTTGGCTGGCTCTCCAGCTTTTCCTGTGCCCAGCCGGGGGCACATGGTTATGGATCTGAAAAGGGACTTGCACAGCTCCGCACCGTGCAGGTGCCATCTGAGGCTCTTTCGTGGCCTGTGCTGAGAAACCGAGGCTCAGGGAGGGGGTAGTGACTTGTTCAGGGCCACATAGCAGGTGAGAATGAGGCCAGATCTGTCAGCCAGTCCAGGTCCAGCTTCACTTGGGCACCAGGTGGCATCCACTACCTCTGCTCTTTGTATCTGTGTTGGGGCTCCCAAACCACCCTCCCCCTCCCCCGGGCATGTGGACCTGTCTGGATTTTGGCATTTGGAGCCTCACTGCCCTCATCTATAAAATGAGTGCAGCAGAGCTCCCTGTGGCTCTCCTGCTTCTATTTGGGGGGGGGGGGGGCGGGGGGGGGAGGAGAGCGTGAGAAAGGGCTCTGTTGTCAGTAATGTTCTGGACAAGTGGGTGACTACTCTGGTCTTGGATGGGACCAGGGCTGAGGGGATGGGATGGGTGGGGAAGGCCACCTAGGTGAGCTCAGCTCTTCCTTGTGGGTCTCAAGAGTCTGCTTGGGAGCCAGGCCAGACCCTGCCCTGCACTCAGTGCTGACTTTCAGCTCCTGCGTGGCTCACCCTCAGCCACTTGCTCCCTTAGAGGCTGAACCAGTCACTCAGTCCTGCTGTGGGCAAAGGGACCGATACTGGGTCTGTGATGCCAGCACAGAAGTGCCCCTCCCTCAAGTCTGCCTTTAGAGGAAAAGGACTTGGGAGTTGATCACGGAGTGATTGCCTTCTACTGGGGTGGCGGGTGGTGGTCTGGGCAGGCTTCCTGGAGGAGAGGGGACAGGGCAGGGGAGGGGAGTGACAGCCCCAGCCTGATGTACCTGTTGCCCACCCCCCAGGTCCCATCTGATGCCCAGGGTGAAGGAGTCTCGCTCCCACGAGTCCCTGCTCAGCCCCAGCAGCGCGGTGGAGGCGCTGGACCTCAGCATGGAGGAAGAGGTGGTCATCAAGCCCGTGCACAGCAGCATCCTGGGCCAGGACTACTGCTTCGAGGTGGGTGCCACTGGGGGAGGTAGGCTCTGGTCGCATCTCCTAGTCAGGTCAGGTCTCAGACCCCGCCCAGAGTCCTCAGTGGCCCTGGCTTTGGGACAGCGGCTGAAAACTGTTCATTGTTTTTGGCTCCTGAGAGACCAGGTAGATCTTGGAGATGGGGGCTTCGTTCCTCCTCCATGGGCTCCTTGGAGACAGACCAGCACTATTCTCCCTGCTGGTGTGGGGGCAAGAGCTCTCCAGCAGTAAAAGGGGATAAAAGTCCATGGAGAATTGTTTAAGCTCCAGGGCCTGTGCCTGAAGCCTGCTCCCCATCCTTAGAAACCCCCTAAATGCAGTGTGGGATGGTAGAGTGCACCCCCTTTTCTGGGCCAGTCTCCCCCATCAATCTTTTCTGCGCTCGCATTCTGTGACGCAGATTTAAGAGCAAGCAGAGGGCAGCAACCCCCGCCTGGCAGGGCTGTACCTGGCATCACCTGTCCAGTTTCCCAGCCGATGGGGAATCTGAGGACAGAGAGGCAAGATGTTAGAGGTCACACCACGAGCCTGAGGCCACGCCAGGACCAGGGTGATGAATGTCGTAGGTGTTCCTGGGAGTTCCTGATTGCTTCTCTCATCAGTCAGATTCCCTGCCCACCTCACCCTCCTTTCCCACCTACAGGGAGCTTACATAATTAGGGCGCTCTCTGATGGAGGGATGAGCCGGGTAATGAAAGTCAGCCATTCGGGGACTCAATGGCAACCTCCTGGCCACCCAGCCCCAAGGAAAGAGTGGAATATGCCAGGCATCTGCCCCACCCCTTGTGCCCATTGCTTCTGGTTTAAGACTCCTGGTCCAGCCAGGCTGCCTCTGGGCTCCAACTTCTTTGCCTTGAACAGGGACAGGTTGAAGACGGTGCGTGGGCACTGGTCCACAGCAGTGGGCGCTGTGGCTTGTGCCGGCCCTTGAATGGCTGGATAAAGAGCCTGGTTCCCTTCTGTTGAGCCCTTGGTGCTGGGGACAGTGGAAGAAGAGGAGCCACTTGGGCTGGGCTTCCTTACCGGTGGGGATTGGAGGATGAGCGAGAGTTCGATGGCGAGGGAGGGTCAGGGTTCCAGGCAGGAGGACCCCAGGCCAAGTGCACCTGGGAGCCCAGTTTTCCTTTGTCCAGTCTGGCCCCTAAAAACTTTGTGACCATCACTGTTGTCGCTGTCACTTGGCAAAAGATAACCATCAGAGAGTGTCAGCTGAGGACGGAGGTGGTCCTTGTGCCTACACAGGGCTGTGTCCTGTTTGGCCCCACAGGTGACAACGTCGTCAGGAAGCAAGTGCTTCTCCTGCCGGTCAGCAGCTGAGCGGGATAAGTGGATGGAGAACCTGCGGCGAGCAGTGCACCCCAACAAGGTAGGCTGCGTCCCCTCTCACCAAGCCTGGGGATTAAGATTAGACCCGGAGCAGAGTGGGATCTCTGGGGTTGGCTGGGGCGGGAGGGGACCTGAGTGGGCAGAAGAGTTGGGCCCTGGAACAGGGGTTCGAGATGGCCAGGCTGACTCAGGTGGTGTGGGCCTCTGTCCTCGAAGCTACACCAGGGAGGCGGGGCCAGAGAACTGAGAATGGGCAGTTAGGGGGTTGGGTGCTGGTGGCCTTCTGCCTGGACCTTTTGTTCCTTCCTCCCCTGGCCGATTCCTGGCCACCCAACCAATTCCAGCTTAGCCCTCTGTCCACTGGCCCAGCCTGGCGCCCGGCTCTGTGTTCCCACTGCCCTGGGCTTCCCCCATCAGGTTCATGGGCCCCAACTCTAATCACTGCTTCTGTGTCTGCCCCCCTGGCTGGCCTGGCCTGGGCTGAGCCCGGTCACGTGACATCACCGCGGGGGGGGGGGCGGTCTGAGCAGTGGTCCCCTCTTAAGTGACTACAGACCTGAGGAGTAGCACACCGGCCTGTGTGCCAAGCACTGTGCTAACTTCTTACTTGTTCTCTCGACATTTATTCCTATTTTATAGAAAAGGGAACTGATCTTAGAGTCAGTCACCTGCCCAAGGCCAGGGAGCTTGTTTGAGGCCGCGCAGAGATCCAGCCTCATGGCCACCAGACTCGTTATCCCTGGCCGTGCCTTCCCTCATCCCCCTCCTGTCAGTGCCTGGCCCTTCCCCAACCCCTTCTGGGGCCCCTCCTGGATCCGAGAGCTCCCCTGGCTCTGACCGGGGTGGTGGGCAGGCAGGCGGCCAGCCACACAGTGACCACGATTCACCTTGTGCACGTGCAGGACAACAGCCGGCGCGTGGAGCACATCCTGAAGCTGTGGGTGATCGAGGCCAAGGACCTGCCGGCCAAGAAGAAGTACCTGTGCGAGCTGTGCCTGGACGATGTGCTCTACGCCCGCACCACGGGCAAGCTCAAGACCGACAACGTCTTCTGGGGCGAGCACTTTGAGTTCCACAACCTGCCGCCCCTGCGCACCGTCACCGTGCACCTGTACCGGGAGACCGACAAGAAGAAGAAGAAGGAGCGCAACAGCTACCTGGGCCTGGTGAGCCTGCCCGCCGCCTCGGTGGCCGGGCGGCAGTTCGTGGAGAAGTGGTACCCGGTGATGACGCCCAACCCCAAGGGCGGCAAGGGCCCCGGGCCCATGATCCGCATCAAGGCGCGCTACCAGACCATCAGCATCCTGCCCATGGAGATGTACAAGGAGTTCGCCGAGCACATCACCAACCACTACTTGGGGCTCTGCGCGGCCCTCGAGCCCATCCTGAGCGCCAAGACCAAGGAGGAGATGGCGTCGGCCCTGGTGCACATCCTCCAGAGCACGGGCAAGGTGAAGGTGCGTGTGCCCGTGCCCCTGGCCCTGGGGAAGGCCCGGGGACACACTGGGTTACCTGCTGTTTCCTGTGTCCGAGGCATGGACTTCAGCCCTATGGGGGGCACTGACCAGGTCATCCCCCTGAACCCAAGTGTGTATCATGAAGTGAGGGGTTTCGTTCTTCTGCCCCCATCGCTGAGGCAGCTGTGGAGCTGAGGGACGGATGGCAGCTTGTAGTGAGGAAGTGAGCAGTGACTTTTCGGTCTGTCATGGACGCCAAGAGCTTCTCCCTGCCACCCCTTCTCCCTCAGTACAGCAGGAGGAACGGGCCCTGGGAGGCAGGAGACCTGGGCCAGGCCCGGCCTGGGAGCTGTGGCCTTGGGCAGCCCAGTTTCCTGTTCTGTTCTGTGCCAGTCCCCGCCCTGGGCTCTAGCTCTGCACAGCTCTTCCTCACCTAGCCTGGGCGCAGGCTCTGACACCAGGGAGCAGGTTGGGATCTGCGGGAACAATGAGTGCCCCTCCATGAGCCCAGGAAGGCCTGGGCGGAGGAACTGGGCTCCTGCCTCCATGTTCCGAGGAGATCCCAGAGGTCAGCTGAGGGTCAGGAGGGCCTCCTCAGATTATGTGGTCCCCAGAGGCAACGGCTTCTTAAATACCCCCCACCCCCACCCACGCCACCGTCCCTCCTTTGGCCAGCAGGGCCTCCTGGGCCTCGAGCTCAGTTCTGTATTTAAGGGGCCAGGTGTGATGTCAGAGAGGTTCCCAAAGTTCTGTGCACCAGAAACCCTGGTCCACGCTGGCTAACTTTGCTGGTGGCCTCTTCCCTGCCCTTCACCTTCCCCTGGGCCTCTGACCCCTGCCTGCCCTCTTCCCCTCCCCCAAGCCACGAGGCTGGCTGTGGGTGGGAGGAGGGGGTCTCTGGAGAGAGGGAGCTCCCATCTGGGCCGTGGGAGCAGGTTTACTCTCCAGCCTCCCTCCAGGAGGGGAGATGTGGGCCAGGCTGCCCCCTGGGGTCTGCCCATGACCCTGCCTGTGGCGCTAGTGGCTCATCTACTTCACAGCTGCCCTCAGCAGTGAGGAACTGCCGCCCTGGGTTTGCCAGGTGGGTGGTGATGCCACTGCCTTCCCAATGAAGCCGTGGTCTCTTCTCTCAGACTGAGGACTGGCTCACTGCCCCCGAGGCAGCTGGACGGCCTCTGCCTCGCTTCTTCTCTGCTGCCCCACACAGAGCGAGGCCGTGTCTGGTGTGGGAGACTCTCGGAGTCACGGGTAGATAGTGGAGAGGGTTGCCCGTCTGTCCTCTCTGTCATTGATGGTGATTGGGGGGGGGGGCAGTTTCCTGGTCACCCAGGCCTGCTCAGGGCCAGCTGGTCTGGCCATGGGGCAGAAAGCTCGTGTCCATGTGGCATGCTCTTGCCCAGGCCTGCCTCCCTGATCCCAAGACCCAGCTGTGACATCACCAGGCGGCTCTGCCCTCCGGCAGCCCCCAAGGTGGACAGTGCCCTGGGATGGGAAGCAGGGTTTCTGGCCACTGCTTGGCAGCCAGTGTGGAAGCCTAGGGTCCTCCCTACCGGCTTGCCCAGGTCCATCTTCCTCACTGCCTGCCTCCCCAGGACTTCCTGACCGACCTGATGATGTCAGAGGTGGACCGCTGCGGGGACAACGAGCACCTCATCTTCCGGGAGAACACGCTGGCCACCAAGGCCATCGAGGAATACCTTAAGCTGGTGGGCCAGAAGTATCTGCAGGACGCGCTAGGTAGGGAGGGTTTGGGCCGGCGTGGGCAGAGGATGGGACACGCCCACCAGGTCCTCACGGCCCCTCCCTGCCCTCCCGGTCACAGGGGAGTTCATCAAGGCACTGTACGAGTCGGACGAGAACTGCGAAGTGGACCCGAGCAAGTGCTCGGCCGCCGACCTCCCCGAGCACCAGGGCAACCTGAAGATGTGCTGTGAACTGGCCTTCTGCAAGATCATCAACTCCTACTGGTCAGTGCTGCCCACACGCCCTCCCCGGGCTCAGCCGCCCAGGCCTCCCCACCACATCGGGTGCCTTCCTCTCGTATGGCTCAGTGAGGGCGCTGTTTCCTGTACAAACAGGAGAGCTGAGGCTCAAGAAGGAGAGGCAGGTGGGCCCGCCTGTGGCCTCACGCAGCTTCCGAGTGGTGGCTCTGGGATGGGAACCCCCCCCCCGCCTGACTCCGCCAGTCTTGGCCCTTTTTGGGTTCTCCGGCGTGAGGGAGTGTTCCAGACCATGCAGGACACGGGTGTGCCGCGTGGAGAATTGGGCGCACCGGCAGTCCACGTGTTTGTTAGCGAGCGCGCTCTGTGACTGTGCTGTTGTAGGTTCTGGGGCTGCACAGAGAGTGAGACTGGCAAGGCCTGGTTCGGGCCCCCCACGGGGGTGGGTGGATGACAACCTGAGACCCCTCTGTCCGTAGGAGCTTGTGCTCATGTCACAGCTTGCGATCGGGCCCAGCCGGGGCTGGTGGGTGCCTGGGCTGTGGGGACAGAGAAGAAAGGATGGGGGTCTAAGGAGAACGTAGTTCTGCAGCCCCGAGAGAAGGAGCGGGGAGTGCAGACGGGCTGTTCAGAGAGGACCATAGTCAGGACCGGGATTGGTGCGTGGGCCACGGCCTGCAGGGCACCTGCTTGCTCCTGGGCTGGTGTGGTGCCAGCTGACTGTGTGCAGGGTGCAGCCCTGCTCATGGTGAGGCAGGTGTAACTGTCCCGGGCAGGGACTTGCTTGCTGCCAGTGCCGAGTGTGGGTCTTTTCACACTGGACGGGCTGCTCAGATTTTCTCCGGTCACTGCTTCAGCTCGGGACCTGCTTTCCCCTCCCCACTCAAGTCTCACCCCCAGCAATATTGTACTCCCCTCTTTGGTCACACTTCTTCCCCTTCTCCTTTAAGGCCTGGCTGCCTCTTTTGCCTGCCTTAGGTCAGCTTACCCTTCTTGGGCATCCTCTGTCCCAGCCCTGATCCCATCAGAGTGGGATTGTGCTTGCATCTAAATCTGCTTCCTGCACATTCTGGGAGCCCCTTGGCGGGTGGAGCCACCAGCTCAGGGCTGGGCGCACCAAAAGGCCCCGGGAGAGTTCAGCAGAGCGACCTGCTAGGCCAGGGAATGATCAGAACCAGTGGGGAGGCCCCCTGCTCAGGCCCCTTTGCTCCTGAGCTCACCTGGGAACAGCCCGGCCCCTCAGGCAAGGTCACATGACCCAGGGCACTAAGGAGATGGGGGAATGACCTCAGAGTCTAGAACTCTGAGGCAATGCACTTCCTGCCCTGGGGCCAGGCTGTTTTCACACTGACTGTCCTGCTATCCCCAGGGCGGTGGGTGTGGGACCAGGGAAACATAACTTGGACAATGATTTTCCATTTCCTGTTTCTGGTATTTGTCAGTGACCCAGAGGCACCTCTCGGTTCTGGGTGCCACGGGTAGATGTCATACTCAGTGCCTGCCCCTGTTTGGGGGTGCCTGTCCCTAGCACTTCCTGTGCACTCGCTCTGCCCGCCCTGTGCTGCCTCAGCTCCCCCAGCAGCCCTGTCCGGTGGGTGATGGTTGGATGATGGATGATGATGGATGGGTGATGGATGGTGATGGGCAGCAGGCCAGCTCATAGCTATCAGGGTTGAAGCTCAGGGTTCCATCGAACACAGAACCAGGTCCCTGCTCTGCACCCACCTGTGCTGGCGCCCTGCCTGCACACCAGGCCCACTCTTGTCTCTTCCCACCAGTGTCTTCCCACGGGAGCTGAAAGAGGTGTTTGCCTCGTGGCGGCAAGAATGCAGCAGCCGCGGCCGGCCAGACATCAGCGAGCGGCTCATCAGCGCGTCCCTGTTTCTGCGCTTCCTCTGCCCGGCCATCATGTCGCCCTCCCTCTTCAACCTGCTGCAGGAGTACCCCGACGACCGCACCGCCCGCACCCTCACCCTCATCGCCAAGGTGACCCAGAACCTGGCCAACTTCGCCAAGTGAGTGTGGCGCCCCCGGCGGGCAGGAGGCCACCGGGGCAGGCCCTGGGTGTTTCCAAGCTGGGCTGCACAATGGGCCCAGCTCAGTCCTCCCTCTCCACACCCCGTCCTCCCTCCCCACCAAAGGAACATGCCATTTTGGTATGTTTCCTTAACTTTCAGAGGTGAGAAGACAAGATGTTTTTTTCCCTGCAGCATTTTGGAATGAACATTTAATCGTAGGGATTCTCCCATGTGCTGAACATCCATAAGCCTCATTTTGAGACGGATGACTAATATGCCTTCAAGGGAGGAGGGCCCATATTTCCTTAGCCCGTCCCCTGTGGCCAGCACTCGGGCTGTTGCACTCTGTCCTTGTGTAATGCTGTCAAGGATGTCCTTGCTCGTCCAGCACGTCAGTGTTTGGACTATCCCTGGGGGCGAGGAGGCAGAAACGGGAGGGCTGGGTCATCCAGTCGTCAGTTCCGGGCCCCCTCAGTGCTGAGCTCGGAGTCACATCTGGTCCCAGCACTTAGGCGGGGGAGGGTGACAGGAGCACACGATCTCTCGGGAGGGCCCTCAGCTTGTTGGGAGAGGAGACAGGGAGACACATGCCCCCAGCTGCGTGATGGGAGCAGCAGCAGTGCAGCTCCTGGGAGGACGTGTGCTGTAGGCACAAGGCACTCTGGCGTTCCTGAATCTTCAAGTGACAATCAGGGAGAAGTGGGAGACAAGAACCCAGAAGGACGCAGGGACCTGAAGGCCAGGCAGGGCTTTAAGCATGGGAGGGGATGTCTGTTCTGGGTCCAGAAAGGTCAGCTTGACAGTAGTAGGGCAGGGGGTTGGAGGGAGCAGGCCTGGCAGCCGAGAGCCCGCAGGAGCGCGAAAGGAAATTGGGGAGGTGATGCAGGAGGCAGGGGCTACAAGGTCAAGGGATGATCAGGAGACACAGTCAGCGGCCTTGCCAGGGGGGAGGGAGGAGAAGGCTCTGGCTCAGCTCTCTGGTGGGCGTGGTGTCTCCACTTGGGACAGAGAGCCTGGGAGGGGAGGGCATGGGCTTGGGGGTGATGGCAATGACTTCAGACTTGGCCAGGCTGGGTGCGAAGGGAGATGCAGGCTCAACAGAGAGGCCTGGCCGAGCACAGATTGGCAATCATCTGCCCCCTAGGCCTTGGAAGCCTGGAGGGAGAGAGGAAGGAGATTGTGACCAGTAGTGAGAGGGGAATGAGGGCCACAGAGCACTCCAGATCCTGTGAGAAGGGGTCCAGCACAGGGACCCTGGGGAAGGAGGGCCGAGTCTCAGCAGGTCGGCTGGCTATGGAGTTAGTGGCCATGGTGGGTGAGGAGGGGTGGGGGCTGAGGACCGGAATCTCCGAGGAGGAGGGCTCCTGGGCGGGCCTGGGTCGCTCACCCCGCCTGCCTTCTCCAGGTTTGGCAGCAAAGAGGAGTACATGTCGTTCATGAACCAGTTCCTGGAGCACGAGTGGACCAACATGCAGCGCTTCCTGCTGGAGATCTCCAACCCCGAGACCATCTCCAACACCGCTGGCTTCGAGGGCTACATCGACCTTGGCCGTGAGCTGTCCAGCCTGCACGCGCTGCTCTGGGAGGCCGTCAGCCAGCTGGAGCAGGTACTGTCCACGGGCAGGGCGCGGCGGAGAGCGCCCCTGGCGGTGCAGATCAGCAGCCGCCCGGGTGCTGGGGCTCAGTTCCCACTCAGGCCCTGGAGGCACACGCTGGGATCTCTGGGCCCCGCTTCCCTGATGGGGAGCGCCATGCTCGCTCCCCAGCACATGCAGGTGGGCGCCCGTTCTGGGTACTGGGCTATGGCTGTGTCTCTGTGCACGTGGTGCTGAGTGGGCAGATTCCCCGGATGAAGGTGTGTTCCCCACCTGTGAGAAATGTGACCAGATTTAGCTCTTTCTGTGGAAATGTCCTTGTTCTGGGTTCTAAGGGCACCGTAAGAAAAAGACCGAGTATGCTCTACTGTACCTTCAAGTGCCGGGCAGGAAGTTACAAACCTCCCTATAAACCTCTCCACAGTTGCCCTTGGCCGTCAAGTCAGTTGTAATGGTTGTTGCCTAGAAACCCCTGAAATGGCTGCAGCCACCCAGGGCTCCACTCCCTGCCCCCAGCAGCTCTGCCCACAGTGGACAGGTCCTTGGCCTCCGGGAGATTTGTTGCTTCCTGGGGCTCCGGGAGGCTCCCTACTCCTGTCCTGTCTCAGAGGTGAGCACACTGGGCGCCTGGGGCTGCAGCCTCTGGGTGTGCCTCGCACATGCAGGCACAGAGCTCTCTCCCTTTTTGGAGTGTGTTAAAGGGAGAATGTGGGTGTGCGCTGCAGTGTGTTTCTCACACTCCGTGTGGATGTCTGCCCCGCGCCTGTGACCTTGCTGACGGCCACAGACTCTCCCATCGTGACTGCCGTTCATTTCATCGGCCCCCTGTTGCTGGACACTCGGGTTAGCCCAGCTTTTCACCAACAACAGATGCTGCTGCAGTCATTTCTGCTCATTTTTGTCCACTGCCCTCTGGCTGTGAGAGACATGGCGGGGAATGGAAACCAAGGCCAGTCACCCCAGTGCCTCCATTTCCTGAGCCCCTGTGCCGACCCCGTATCGGCACATGGTCAGCAGCCGTCACAGCTACAGGGCTGCAGCAGGACTGAAATGTGGCGCTTTGCCTCCCGAGTCTCTGCTCTGTTGTTGACACAAGTTTTCGCATTTTCTTTTGCACAAAGCCCTACCTGGAATCCAGTGCCTAAGCAGGTGAAAGCAGGGTCCCCTTCCCTGAGCTCGGCCCCACAGCCTGGCATCCTTAGCACCATCAGTCTTAACCATGGCAATGAGGTGCTGCCTCTGCCTGGCCCTCCACTTGCTAATCGCCTGGCGGGCACATGGTGGTGCCTGCTCTGTGCCTGGAGCGAGTCCCCTGGGTCTCGGGTGTTGATGGGTCAGGCCCCGCCCCACCCTCTGGAGGAGGTGATGTGGGAGGGGCTGTCCCAGGAGCCTCTCAGAGGGGGGGGTGTGGGTGCGAGAAGTTCTGGATTCCACGTGGGTTTTCCTCCCCGAGGCAAAGGTAGAATGAACGAGGGTCAAAGGCTAGGACTGGCTCAGCGTTTCTCCTTGCGGGCCTCACACCTTCATCTTGGAAATACTTGGGGAGCTGGTAAATATGTAATTTGCACAGTCCTGGCTCTCCCCCTCCTCCCGACCTGCTGGATCTGACTGGCAGGGGAGGGGTCTGCTTTTCTGCCTGGTTCCTCGCTGTTCTAAGCCACCGTGGCCGCAGCTCACTCGGCCTCTCCAGATGGCCCCAACAGGTCACATCGCCTCTTCGTGTGTCCTTCCAGAGCATCGTATCCAAGCTGGGGCCCCTGCCCCGAATCCTGAGGGACGTCCACACGGCACTGAGCACCCCGGGCAGTGGGCAGCTCCCAGGGACAAACGACCTAGCCTCCACGCCTGGCTCCGGCAGCAGCAGCATCTCGGCGGGGCTGCAGAAGATGGTGATCGAGAATGATCTCTCCGGGTAAGAGCCGCCGGGTGTGCTGGGCATTGTGGGGTGCATGCAGGCTCAGGTGGGCAGGAGGAGAAACAAGCTGGTGAGCCTGGAAATGTGTGGTGCAGGCCCTAAGGAGCGAGCCTCCATTTAGGAAAAATCAGGGAAGGCTGCCTGGGTGAGGTGGTTCTGTAGTTTTGAGCTTTTTAGCATGTTAGTAGTTTTGAGCATTTTCATTGATGGAAACAGCATTCTGGGTAGAGGGACTAACACAAAGGCAACAATGTTCTGTTGGAGAATAATTATTGGTTCCCAAGTACCTCTAGGGGTGTCACAAATACCGGTTCCCCTGGTATTCGCTAGGCCCAGTCCGAATCTCCAAAAGTGGGGCACAGGGGTGTGTGTTCAGCAGGAGTTTGGGCAACTACAAGGCTTTAAGGCTGGGTGTTCAGGCCTGACCCTCACTCTAAGCCCTGGGGCAAAATGCACTCAGTGGAGAAAGAGGGAAATATTCTCTAATATTGATATCAAAATGAGGCTTTTCCTTTACAACAAGTGTTTTTGTTGTTGTTGTTTTTTTTTTTTAATATATTTTATTGATTTTTTACAAAGAGGGATAGAAAGTTAGAAACATCAATCAGCTACCTCCTGAACACCCCCTACTGGGGATGTGCCTGTAACCAAGGCACATGCCCTTGACCGGAATGGAATCTGGGACCTTTCAGTCCGCAGGCCAACTCTGTCCACTGAGCCAAACCGGTCAGGGCAACAGGTGTTTCTATTGACCCCTTTATGCCTCCCTCGTACACTCCCCTCCCTACCAGGGGCCGCCTTGGACCAGCTGGTGAGGATGCGGCTGGGCCAGCGGAGTGGGGAGTCAGGTCTCCCCTGAGGGTGGTGGCAGTGACGGGCTTTTAAGTGGCAGAGGGTGTGGTGCACAGACCAGATGCTACTTCTCAGGTCCCTCTGAGTCTGGGGGTTCACTCATGCAGCCTGCCTAGTGAGACAAATCTAGTTCAGGTGGGGACACCTTGGCTGAGAGGTGGCCGGACACGTGGCTTTGAGGAGACCTCACCAGGTGTGCTGCTGGCATGGGTTCTCCCAGCTCCACTGCCGCCTGCCCACGTCTTCTCAGCCCACAGTTCTGTCACGCGGTCAGAGTCTGCCCTTCAGTTAGTACTTGGCACTTCCCCTCTCCCAGGCTAAGCCGACTCTTATTCCCCTTCCACGCCCATGGCAAAGCCTAAAGTCCTTGCTGCCTCCAGCCCCCTCTGAGCCCTTTTCACCCCATAACGTTCCCTCCCAAGCCTGGCTGGCCCCACAACATTGTGCCTTCTTCCAAGGGGCCACATTCGGGGAGGGCCCAGCCTGCCACTGCAGGGCAGCCCCTCCGCGCCTGAGTCATGCCTTTAGGATCCTCCTGGTTCCGCGTTTCTAGCAGGAACGCCCGCCTCCGCCCGCCTGTCAGTCAGTCAGTCAGGGGAGTAGCAGCAGGAGGCTGGGCCGGGGAGGCCTCGCCAGGCCCCACCTCGGTTCTCAGGCTGATCAGGAACCAGAAGGAAGAGGCAGAGAGAGCCCTAGTGGCTCTGAAGTCGGCTTCCTCTGTGCAGGACCCCAGGGAGCAGAGAGCCACTGCGTTGTGGGTTGGGGTTCAGCTAAGGGAAATTTCCAGAACACCCTGGCCTCGACTGCGCCATCATCCCAAGATGCAGCCGGCCTGCCACTAGCTGCGCTGGCCCCTGGCACAAGTTCTGTGCAGGAGCTGCCGCCTCAGCCAGCCAGTCCTCGGTGGCTTCCGCTGGGGTCGGCTCCCCAGGCTTGTAGGTTTTGCATCTGGGCCCCAGGACTCTCCCATCCTTGCTGCCCCGGCACCTCCCTGCCCCTCCCCTCCCTGCCCCGCCTCCCCCCTCCGCCCCCAGCCTTGGCTCCGGCCGCCGGCCGGCAGCTTGGCGGGGGCTCTCGGGTTGGACCGGCCTTGGCCGCACTCACAGTTCTTCTCTTCCCCCTTCTTTCCCTGTGTGTGCTTGTCTCCCTGCAGTCTGATAGATTTCACCCGGTTACCGTCTCCAACCCCCGAAAACAAGGACTTGTTTTTTGTCACAAGGTCCTCCGGGGTCCAGCCCTCACCTGCCCGCAGCTCGAGTTACTCGGAAGCCAACGAGCCCGATCTTCAGATGGCCAACGGCGGCAAGAGCCTGTCCATGGTGGACCTCCAAGACACCCGCACGCTGGATGGGGAGGCGGCCTCCCCGGCGGGCCCCGACGCCCTCTCCGCCGACGGGCAGATGCCCGCGACTCAGCTGGTGGCTGGGTGGCCAGCCCGGGCGGCCCCCGTGAGCCTGGCAGGGCTGGCCACGGTGCGGCGGGCGGGCCAGACGCCGACCACGCCGGGCACCTCCGAGGGAGCACCGGGCCGGCCCCAGCTGCTGGCACCGCTGTCTTTCCAGAACCCTGTGTACCAGATGGCGGCCGGCCTGCCGCTGTCGCCCCGCGGCCTCGGCGACTCGGGCTCCGAGGGCCACAGCTCCTTGAGCTCCCACAGCAACAGCGAGGAGCTGGCAGCCGCCGCCAAGCTGGGGAGCTTCAGCAGCGCCGCCGAGGAGCTCGGGCGGCGGCCGGGGGAGCTGGCGCGGCGGCAGATGTCACTGACTGAGAAGGGCGGGCAGCCCACGGTGCCACGGCAGAACAGCTCCGGGCCCCAGAGGCGGATCGACCAGCCACCGCCCCCGCCCCCGCCGCCGCCCCCCGCGCCCCGCGGCCGGACGCCGCCCACCCTGCTGAGCACCCTGCAGTACCCTCGGCCCTCGAGCGGGACCCTGGCGTCGGCCTCGCCCGACTGGGCCGGCCCCGGAGCCCGGCTGCGGCAGCAGTCCTCCTCCTCCAAGGGCGACAGCCCCGAGCTGAAGCCCCGGGCGGTGCACAAGCAGGTGAGTTGCGCGGGCGGAGGGAGGGCAGGCGGGAGGGTGGTCCTCCCCGTGCCGTGCTGCTCCTCCCGGTCATTTCATCCCCCTCACCCAGCTGCCATCCCATGCTGAACGGTGCCACATTCGGCCCCAGCCCACTGCATACACTCCCCCTCTTCCCTGTCCCTGCTGGCCTCTGCCTCAGTCCCGTGAACCAGGGACACCGCAGCCTCAGGCTCCCTCTGCCAGTTTCCCCCGAGACAGCTGGGGTCAGGGAGAGGGAGGGGTCAGTCCATCCTCAGTTCTAAGCCTGCGGATGCCCTGCCGAGGGTAGGACTTGACCTGTGACCTGCTCGGAGCTGGCCTTCAGAGCTCAGCTGCCAGGGGCTGCACACGGTCCATGGAACTGTCTGCTTTGGGTGGAGCTCCTGGTCTTCCCGGGCCAGCTCCCCGCTCTCACCGGGGCGCTGCTGCCTCCTTAGGTGCCCGGTCAGCTGAAGGTCCCCTCCCTTCTCCCGTGCCTCTGGGCCACATGTTCTCGTGGCTCACGGGTGCTGCTCCCACCTCCTCTCCTCCCCGCTGCCCTCCAGCCCTCACAGCTGTGTTTCATTGTAGGGCCCTTCACCTGTGAGCCCCAATGCCCTGGACCGCACAGCTGCTTGGCTCTTGACCATGAACGCACAGTTGTTAGAAGACGAGGGACTGGGCCCAGATCCCCCCCACAGGGATAGGCTAAGGAGTAAGGAGGAGCTCAGCCAAGCAGAAAAGGTAACGCTGGACCCTGTCAGTTCGGGACAGGGAGGGGCTGCATCCCTTGGCAGCTGGCAGGATTCTCGCCCTTCGAGACCTGAGGGGGCACTGCTTGCTCCTGCAAATGGCCAGTCCCCTCTCAACCCCCGATTTCAGTCAGTGGGGTCTGGAGGAAGAGCAGCAGGAGGGATGTAGTTAGACCTGAGGTTTCCCACACGGGCTGCACGTGAGACTCAGTTGGGACTTGGGGACTGAGGGTGCCAGAGAGGTGCATGGAGACCCTGAGGGAGCCTCATGCATGCGGCGGTGGAGGCACATGTCCCCGAGGCAGCTGGGACAGTGCCCCAGCCAGGCCCCCTCCACTCTGGGCTGTGCCTGCCCGAGGCCTGGCTCTTTTCCCAGTCCCCTTCTCCTCCGGGGGAAAAGTGGTTCAAAATACCACGTGCCACCCACCACCCACATCTGGCACCTGGTGGGCAGTGGGTGCCTCCCATTCTCCCAGTGGTGTGATGGCTGCCCTGGCCATGGCAGGTTCTTGTCTCCTGGAGGCCAGAGCCCAGGTCTATCCGAGCAAGGCCCAGGCAGCGGTCACCCCCTCTCTCACTCTAGGCTCCAGGGAAGCCTGTGGCAGCCTCAGGCAGGGCTGTGGAGGTCAGCGGCAGCTCCCTCTCTCTGGCCTAGGGCGAGGTCTAATCCTGTGCTGCATGCCGCCCCCTCCCTCTCCCTGTGGCCCACCGCATCCACCTGCTTTCTCCATAATTATGTGAAGGGGGCATGGCACAGTGCTCCAAGAGCCACAGTTTTGCTGGAGAGCAAGGAGGGCCAGCCTCACCCCAGGCTCCCGCGTGGACCTGGGGCTGGGCTCTGTGCCTGTCAGAGGCTCAGATTTCCATTTGTGAATCGCAAGGGTGGCCGGCACGCTCCTGGGGCCGGGCTGGAGTGCCCTCCTTCCTCGTCGTCCCTTGGCTGAATGAGCTGCTGCTTCTCTCACCCTCTTGCTGCTAACTTTCATAGGCAAACCCAGGAGCCTCTGTCCCCTGAGCTCCCTGGAGACCTGGTCCTGCCTCTGGCAGGCCCTCCTCTCACTCCTCTGGCCAGCTGAGCAGGGGTGGGCGGAAGATCAGGAGCCAGGCTCCCCTGTGGGTCCAGCTTTGCTTCAGGGATTACCTTTGAGGTGGATCTCTGGCTTTGCTGCCCTCTGACCTCGGGACAGTCCTTCGCTGTTGAGAGAGGGGCTCCTATTGCCTGGTCTCAAGGAGAGGCTCTTCCGGCCTCAGCCTGCCTCACCCTCTGTCCGGCCCGCTCAGCCTCTAGCTTGGTGCTTCCCTTGCTGCCTTACCCATCCTTGGCTCCCACAAAGGCTGAGCGTGCTGCGCTGAGTCAGAACCAGAAAGCCAGGCCACCGTGCCCTTGACCTCTCCTTCCCCCCATCCCCTCACTTCCTTCCACCGCCACCTGGCTTTAGGGTCAGATAGAGGCCGGGCGGCTGGATCTTATCCCACTGGTCAGTCACTCGACTTTCCACGTGACTGGGCCACTTGCCTTTGGAGCCTCAGTTTCCCCTCCACTAGAGCCCCCATCTCACAGGGAACTGTCAAATCTTCTTAGCCTTTATTTGTTATAAAAAGCTAAAGATCTTAAATTTACTTTTGAGCCTTCATTCCCTTCCCAGTTTTAAGGTCAGACGAGGGAGATGGGAGCATCTCCTCACTGGGACGTGAGCTGGGGTGGGGACAGTCCCTGGGGCGTTCCGACCCGGGTCCCCTCCCACCCGGGTGCCTGCTCGGGCTCACGTGGCTGTGCTCTCTGTCCCGGGTGCTGTGCCGTGGCACGCTGCCCTCCCGGCAGGACCTGGCAGTGCTGCAGGACAAGTTACGAATCTCCACCAAAAAGCTGGAGGAGTACGAGACCCTGTTCAAGTGCCAGGAGGAGACGACGCAGAAGCTGGTGCTGGAGTACCAGGCGCGGCTGGAGGAGGGCGAGGAGCGCCTGCGGCGGCAGCAGGAGGACAAGGACATCCAGATGAAGGGCATCATCAGCAGGTGAGGGTCCTGCTCCCGCTCTGGGTCCAGGCCCGGCCCCACCCTGCCCCCTGGGAGGCCCCGGGGAGGGGCTGACCAGCTGCAGGATGAGTGGAGTGTGGAGACAGGAAGGAAGGGAGGGAGGGAGGGTGCCAGGCGGGGGTGAGGGGGGGTGGGGGGGGGTACAGCGTGGCACAGGCCTGGAAGTAGGAGGGAGCCTGGAGTGTGGGAGCCCCACAGGGTGCAGTGTGTGCCGATGGCAGAAGGCAGACCAGGCCTGGCGGAAGTGAGGGCCGCCGAGGCAGGTCTGGGAGGACCTGTGGGCCCGTGCGGAGCCCCACTTTCTCAGGGGAGTGCAGAAGCCAGGTCGGAGGTGCCAAGGAAGACAATGAGGACCCAGTTCAGGGCAGGAGAATAGGAATGAATGTCAGTTACTTTCTGTGGCTGAAGGTGGGAGGTGAGAGGGAGGAAGGAGACAGAATAATCCCGACTTCTACCGAGAGCATCCGGGTGTGTCGTGCTAATTACTGAGAGGGGGAGCTTTGGAAGAGAAGCAGTTCAGGTGGGGAGGGAGAGGGATGGTGATGATGCCAGTGTTGGGTGTATTGAGTTTTAAGGTGCCTTTGGGTCATATAGGAAGATTGCGGAGGGGGGGGGGGCATTGATTTTAATTCTGGCTCATCTTTATTGATGGCTTGTATCAGGTTCTGTGTTGATCGCCCCTTCCTCCCACCCACCCCCGCTTTTGAGTAGGGTGGCACACCTTTGTGTCCGTGGGCAGGGAGTGCAAAGTGCAGCATCCAGGCCAGCCCACAGAGTCCCAGTCCTGGAGTTGACTTCCTTATGACAGTAATACAGGTACGAGAGCCTGTCATCCGGACGGATTTCACAGGAGAGCAGCCAGGATGTCCCCCAGCACAACTGGCTTCATGCTAAACTTATTCACTACAAAACCCTCCCCCATTCCTCCTATTTAGACGGCCTGTGTTCCTGCTCCTCATCATTGTTTCATTTACCTCCGGGTTTGTTCATTGGAAAATGGTTAGCGTGAGCAGAGGGCCTATAGCCAGGGTCACTAGAAACCCACTGTCCAGTTGTCGGCCAGCTCTGCTCTTGGCTCTCTTCACATGTGTGGTCATAAAAATGGAGTCACTTTCAACCTAACCACCTCCTCTTTGTGTCTTTTCTCTGAGAGGTGCATGCTTTCCTAAATTCAGTGGCTTATTTAACACATTTACTTCTACTAACCAATCCTGGCATGTTTCCTCACTAACGTAATGTCAATTAGGTTGATAGTGTTGTTCAAGTCTTCTAGATCCTTACTAGCTTTTCCGCTTGTTCTGTCAATTACTGGGAAAAGGATATTGAAGTTTCTAATCATAATTATGGATTTGTCTATTTCTCCTTTTATTTCTGTTGGTGTTTGCTTTACATACACTGAAACATTATTCTTAGGTGTACACACATTAGGATTGTTAAGTACTTTGATGAACTGACCTCTGTATTATAAAGTCATCCTCCTTAGCTCTCATAATATTCCTTACTCTGAAATCTTCTTTGATATTAATAAAGCTGCCAGAACTTTATTTAATTAGTATTTGCCTGGTATATCCTTTTCAATTCTTATACTTTCAACCCATCTTTTTGTTTCTATATAGAGTGAATTACTCTTACAGACACCCTATTGTTGGTTCTTGCTTTTTATTGGATAAGTTGCTTTTTATTGGATAAGTTTCTGACTTTTAATTGTTTAGACCACTTACATTTAATGTAATTATCAATATAATTATGTTTAAACCTATTATCTTGCTGTTTTCTATTTGGGCTGTTTTATTTCCTTTTTCTGGCCCTCTTTTGTATTATTTTTATGATCCCATTTTGGTGTTGCTTTAGGACAGGAGTTAGAAATTTTCTGGAAAGGGGCAGGTGATAAATATCTTCAGCTTTGCAGGCCTTATGGTGTCCTTTGCAACTATTCGACTCTGCTGTTACGGCAGAACTGTTTGTGTGGTGGGGCTGTTGACAAAAACAGGCAGTGGGCTTGCTTTAACCTTGAGGATATACCAGGCTGATACTGGCTGTAATGATGGGCACCCTGTCGTTATCTGTGTTCCTCTGTATTTAGCATACCTTTTCCTCTGGCTGTTTGTAAGATTTACTTACTTATCACTGATTGCTGTGGTTTTCTTCACGTTTCTTGGGTTTGTTGAGCTCTTGGATCTGTGGGTACATAGTCATGACTCCTCAGTTTGCTTTCTGGACTCCCATTGCACATATATTGGACTACTTTATATTGCCCCACCTTCTACTGATTCTCTGTTGTTTCCATTCTTGTCTTTTATCTTAGATCATTCCTATTGCTCTGTCTTCAAGTTCTCTAATCATTTCTTCTTCAGTGTTTAATCTGTTAATTCTATCAGTACTTTTTTTTTTAATCTGCTATTATACTTTGCCTCAAGACTTTGGTTTAATTCCCATCTACTTCTCATTATGCTCATGCTTTTCTATATTTTCTTGAACATGTGCAATATATTAGTTGTTTTAATGTCCTTGCCTGCTAATTCTCTCATCTGACATTTCTGAATCTGTTTTTACTGATTAGTTTTCTTCCTTCCTGGTTATGGGTTATGTTTTTCTACTTCTCTGCATTTTTGGTTGGCTGCCAGACATTGTGAATTTTACCTACGTGCTGGATGTTTTGTGTTCCTTTAAATATTTTGGGCTTTGTTCTTGGACACAATGAGGTTATCTGGAATCACTTTGGATTCTGCTGAGGCTTATATTTACACTTCATTGGGCGGGTCCTAGACAGCCTTCAATCGAGGCCCAATCAGGCAGTTTCTTTCTGGGGATCTGAGGGGGGGCCTCCTGGGTTAGCACGTCTTTCCACCGTGCTTGGAAGGAACGTGCACGGTTCCTGGAGTGGTTTTGTGAACTTTCCAGCGGTTCTTGTCTCAGCCTGGCTTTTTCTCACAGGCATGCAGACCATCCTCAGCCAAAGCCCCAAGGGGACCCCTCAGGAGACAGGTGGCCCTCTCTCTGCATCTTCCTCCTGTCCTCACTGTCCTGTGACCCCAGCGCCCCGTCTCCTGCCCTCCCTGGGTCTCCTCCGTTCTGAGGTCCTCCCTCCTTTTGTTTGGCCTGGACACTCCAGGCGCTCACACTTCCTGCTCCTTTCTTGGAGGGGGCACAGGACTGTGCCGCCAGTTATTTAGTATCTGGAAAACTTTGTTTTATAGGTATTTTATCTGGTTTTATCGTTTTTACTTATTTGTGGCAGGAGGGTGAATCTAGTCCCTGTTATTTCACCATAGCTGGAAACAAGTCTCCCCCCCCAGTATAATTTCCCTTCTAACGATGCCATCTACTGCCTTTCCTCCCCCTTCCCCTCACCCCCTTCTGGTGGGCTTTGTTCCATGACTGCCATCCTGTGACAGGAACCCCCACTGGCGTGGCCCACACTCCTTTCTCCTGACCAGTGCTCCTGACCCATTGACTTCTCATGACACCCTGTGTGGTGACTGCCCAGCACCGAGGGCCTCCCTGTGCCCCTACTGTGCTGGGAGCTAGTGCTCCCCGGGGGAGGGGGACTGCTGCTGGGCTGGGGAGGGAGCGGGGGAGTCGATGAGCTCATCTGGGAGTGTTTGTAGAGCGAGAAGAACGGAGAGGAAGCGGAGGCCTGACATCCTAGGGGGCAGACAGGACATGGCGGCTGCCAGCTGTGGCCTGGGAGCTGGCAGGGAGTCAGAGTGTGGGCTTCAGAAGCCAGAGGAGCGGAGTGGGAAGGTAGGAGTGACGGAGAGTGATGACAGTTGTGGGAGAGACCACAGGGTGAAGCCGGAGGGGTCTCGGGAGAGGAGCAGCTGGTGGCAGGCCCACACCTGCCTTAGCTCTGAGCCTCTGCAGGTGGCATTCCTCCCACCTGCAGACCTTGCTGTCCTTCAGAGGTCCAGTTCGGTGTGTGTCCCTGTTATTCCACCATAGCTGGAAACTCCTGTCCTCACTGTCCCCACCCTTCAGGGCAGTTAGCTGGTTAGCTCCTCCTGCTGTCCCATGGCCCGAGCTGCCCGCACAGGGCGTAGCTGCGGCCTCTGTGTGTGTCCCTGCTGCCTTTCGCGTGCCTTGAAGGGAAGGACTACACTTCATCTCGCTACCACGAGTGCCAGCACAGCCCCATGAATGCGGCGGAAGGAGAGAGCTCTAGACCCTCCAGGGTCCCCGTCTTCCCCCCAAACCACGTCCCCACGGCTTTATATCACCCGCCAGGCTCTGGGGGAGGCGAGGACCCAGCACCCACTCCCACCTCCTGGAAGAACACCAGGAAAGGGGCAGCCCAGGGGCTTCTGGGAATTGGAAACAGAAGTTGGGGCAAAGTGAAAGGAAGGAGTAGACCCAGCCCGTGTTGTAGCCAGGGGCCAGCTGGAGGGCCTCTGTCCCAGGCACATGTCTCCTCGGCAGGTGTGGTGACCTGCGCCCACAAGGCCCACCCCCACCTCACCACCTGCTCCCCAGGCGCTGACTGTCCTTTCCTCCGTCACAGGTTGATGTCGGTGGAGGAGGAGCTGAAGAAGGACCACGCAGAGATGCAAGCAGCTGTGGACTCCAAACAGAAGATCATCGATGCCCAGGTGCGGGGCTCTGGCCCTTCGGTCGGCCTCAGGTGGTACAGGACCTAGGATGAGGGAGGTGACTCTGGCTTCTCCATATCCTTAGCCACGGCCTCTGCAAAAGCTGCAGAGGGGCAGGGGAGCAGACCCCCGCCCTGAGAAGTCAGACGTGAGGGTCTCAGTGGACCACCAGCTCACTAGGACAGGTTGTGAACGGGGCAGCGTGGTAGGCATTGCCTTTCACTGGGTGCCAACCGCAGAGTGGGTCTGTTGGGAGGCGAAGGGGGGAGAGGGGGTGGCACAGGGAGGGGGAGGGCCTCTGTTCAGAGCTGAGGCTTCCCAGCTGCATGGGGAGGAGAGACATGTTAGAGGCTTTGGCCTCCTTCCCCCAGGCCTGTTCCCTCTTCCTCTCAAATGCCCAGAGCTAGGGCCAGTCCTGCAGACTGTGAACTGCACGCAGGCCCAGGAGCTGTGACCTCCGCGTGTCACGCGTGGGCACAGGCACCTGCCCGCGGGGCCTCAGGTGGTGATGGATGACACTAGAGCCGCTGTGTTGAGCATGAGAGGCAGCAATGTGGCAGGCAGACTCCAGGAGGTCATGGCTTGTGACGGCATGGCCACCCTGCTCCACGGGCCTCTCCTCCCGGCCACATCCCCGCAGCTGCACACCCAGCGAGGTCCTTCCCCTCCGTGGCCCCAGCTCACACCCCCTTTGTCCACAGGAGAAGCGCATCGCCTCCCTGGACGCCGCCAACGCCCGCCTCATGAGCGCGCTGACGCAGCTGAAAGAGAGGTACAGCATGCAGGCCCGTAACGGCATCTCCCCCACCAACCCCACCAAATTGCAGATTACCGAGAACGGCGAGTTCAGGAACAGCAGCAATTGCTAACCTGCCCGAGGAGAGGAGAGGAGAGGAGAGGAGAGGGAGGACTGTGGTGGCCAGGGCCGGGCCTCGGCCTGGGGAGGAGCACCCCACAGTTGCAGCCCCGGCGCAGGGGGCAAGAGGCCGAGGCTGTCTCCCGTGCCCTCCGCCCGCCCGCGGTCCAGGAGGCGGCCACAGAGGGAGCCAGAGAGACCGACGCGGCGGGAGCCCCCCCTCTTCCGCCCAAGAAGCGAGTTGGGTTCAGGCCGAAGAGACTGCACGCGGGGAGCGGGACAGCCTGGCGGGGGCGGGGGCGGCCAAATACGTCTCTGTTGGTTATCGAACCCGGTGTGTGTCACCTTTCCTTTGGCCTGGCCAAGTGCATGTGCCCCCGCACTCCCCCGGGAGGGAGCTGCCCGGAGAGGTGGGGGAGTCAGAGCTGGGCCCAGGCTCCTTGGCAGCCAGGCCCCTCCCTGTGGGCTCTGCCCTTCAGTCTCAGGAGCTGACAGGTCGGCGGGCAGGCGGGGTGGGGAGGCTGGAGCTGCCTGAGGCCCGTGTGCTCTGCCCGGCTCTGAGCACCTGCCACTGCATGCAGCCTGTCAGGGGCCGGCCGTGAGCTACCGAGGATTCACCCAGACCTGCCCCCACACTCCCGCCTTCTCCCTCTCCCTCCCTCCCTCCCTCCTTATTCTACCAAAAAGATGCAGTGAGGCGCAGTCTCTGTGCTCTGGACCCTCGCCCCTGTGGGCCTCAGCCCCGCATCAGAGCCCCCTCACGGCCGCCGGGCCAATGTCTGGGGCTCCCAAAGCCAAAGGCCCGGGCGGAGTTGGCCCAGCGGCACCGCTGGCCCTCCTGGGGCCCTGCAGGGAGTGGCCGCGGGTGCCAGCCTGAGAGAGGCTGATCTTCCTCGTTGAGGGTTAAGGAATTCTAATGCCCACAACCCTGAGCAGGCGGATAACTGTGATTTCTTTTCCTTTCACAGTATGCATTAGAAACAAAAGCCCGCTTGCTCGCTTGCTGGAACACAGGGGCCTTTTAAATTGAGCGTGCGCACTGCATGGGAAATAGCGGCCCCGGAGGATGTTAGACTTGCTCCCTCTCCGAGACAGCAGCGGCCTGCACCCGGCCCGCACGTGCGGCTGCCGCCTCCTCACCCTCCCGGGGCCCCAGCCAAGGACCAGGCGCTGCAGACAGGGATGGGGCACCCCCCCAGCTGGGGCCGGTTTTCCTCAGCTCTAGGCTGTTCTGTAGCTCCTCAGCCTGCCCCCCTCCCCCGAGGGACACAGGTGGGCAGGAGCTGGGGTCTCTGGGCCCCTCCCTGTTCCCAGCCCCAGCCCCGGACACACACAGCAGAGACGGGCTGAGCCAGGGCCAGCCCTCCGCCTCAGGAAGCGAGGAGGCCCTTGGAAAGAGTGCCGAGCCCGTCCTGCCCCAGGGCCCGGAGACGGGGCGCCAGGGCTGGGGTTGCCACAGAGCCCACCAGCAGGGCGAGAGGGGGGGAGGGGTGGCCCAGACCGCACCGCGCCCCGTCCTGGGCCTGGACCACGCTCAGGGAACAGGCTCTCAGACGAAACCTGCAGTTCAGTCAGGCCAGAGACACGCTGGGCGAGGGCAGCCCCCAGGGCCACAGACCTCAGGAAGGAAGGCCATGGGGGCCGAAGCCCTGCTCCCGCCCCTGGTGTCACAGGCAGGGCCTGGCCCCAGTGATGTCCTCTGGTTCAGTTTCGTGCCCCCCCCTCCCCCAGCCCAGTGAGCCTCCCTCCCCCACCTGATCTCCTCCCACCGAATGCCTCGTAGAAGGACCTCGGACCGAGCGCCTCTTAGCAATGCAGGGGGGTCCGCGGGGCCCGACGGCAGGCGCGGGAGGCCGGCGCGGCGGCCGGTGCTGGCGGCCTTGGCTGGGCTGTGAGCTCTCAGGCCAAACCGTACTTACCTAGTGCAAAAACTGTAAACGTGTACAGACGCCGCAGATTTTTATCTGAATTGCAAGTCTGACCATTTTTGTAAATGTTTCTTGGTGTTTGACTGTAATGTAACTATTTCACCTAATGGTTGTACATAGTCCTCTAGTCCTGGTGCTGCCGAGGGCTGCCCAGGACCGCTGCTCTCCGAGGGTTTGTATTTTATATTTTAATCTAGAGAACAGTATTGGGCAGGAGGAAGAAGCTTGGGGTTTGGGTGCTGGGGCGCTCCCCTGCCCGTGGCGTTAATTGGTTTGCGTTGCAGTGTGCTATGGGGGTGGGGGTGAGGGGCACATGTGCCCTGGCCAGGCCAGCAAATGGGGCTCTCGCCCGGGCCACACAGAACCCGCGTCGCGGTGCTGGACGCAGAGGGCTCCCAGGGAGGGGTGAGCGGAGGACACGGTCCCAGCCCAGACCCTACGGGAGGCCCTCTGCCCTCCTTTGCCAACACAGAGGGGCCTGACTTTTTTGCTGAACTTTTATGTTTAGGGTGAAGGAAACTGCCAAAAACTTCCTATAAGTGAAGACTTTTTCCAACTGCCCAGTAAGGGGGTGGGGAACCGAGGCCAGAGCTCTCATCGCCCCCACAGAGCGTCTGCCGGGGTGCACCTCTCCCTCCCTCCGTCCGTCTGCGGAAGGCAGACTGTCCAGGGAAACAGCCCCCTCTTTTCTACACTCGGCCCCCGAGCCCCCCGGCCCCACACCCCCTGCCCCCCTTTTGTAAGTATGTGAAAAGGACAAAACTGCAAACGTGGAGTCTCGGCCGGAGCCTCTCCGGCTGTGGCTTTTAACTATGTAATAATGTACAGAGAAAGTGTTGGTGTTCTAAGACTGTGTGGCTGTGCAATTTCTGTACATTTGCAATTAGAAATATTAAAGATTTATTTAGCTATTTTAAGCCTGGCTCGCCTCTCCATTCAGCCGTGTCTCGGGAGGTTTCTGGGGGTGACCCTTGAGTCATGGGCTGATGCTGCCCTTGGCTTCGGGGTTCTGCACCGGCCCCTGGTTCACCGGTGGCTCTGCACACAGGGAAGACCCCTCCAGCAATGGCAGCGGCGGTCTCTGCACACTGAGTGAGCCGGCACTGTCCCCTCCTCCAGGCAGTGGGGCAAGTGGGCTGAGAGCCCCACCCCCAGCCCTCTCCAACCCCTGCCCCGGGGCTCAGCCAGCTTGGAAGTGAGGTCTGTGCTGGTCCAGGGTCTCCTGGGAGAGCGGCCCAATTTCCCTGCAGCAGACACCAGCTCCTGCCCCGCTCTGCCTCAGATGCCGTCCCACCTGCTGAAGTCTGCCTCCAGGCAGGGACAGGCCCATCGAGGGGAAGAGGTTGGCCCAGGGTCAAGCAAGTCATGGCAAAGTTAGATGGAACCCAACCTTCCGGTGTCTGGAAGGTTCCAACTCAAAAGGCTCTCCCAAGCCTTCCCTCCTGCAAGACCGAACCCAAGGCCTCCACTGTGAACAGACGCCCCCAAACCCCATCAGCTGCACCTGTGCTCAGAGGACCTTGCAGCCCTGGGTCCCACTCAGCAGGCCCCAGGCAACAACCACCCAGCGCATCCTCTTTGCACATGTGGTGAGACTGGCTCCGAGGGACAAGTCCAGGCCCAGCTCCTGCCCTCCTCCACATGGCACACAGGCCACGCTTCTGCAGAGACAGGGCTGCATCCGGCCAGATCACCAGACAGACACCCTGGCCTGTCGCTGCACAGGTGCCTCAGTTCCTGCAGGGCCGTGGGCCCGGCTTGCAGCATTTCCACAGAAGCCCCAGGACTGCTCCAATGGGAGGGCTGGTTCAGAGGCGGGTGGAAGGGTGCGGCAGAGCCACTGGCTGCTGTCCACCCTCGCCAGCCTGCCCCCCAGAGCCCCTTGTCTGAGCCCTGGGGTAGCTCCAAACCTTTGTGTATCTAATGTGGCGGCGGAGGGGGGGGGGGCACCGCATCCTGTTCTACCAACTCATGGTCCTCAAGGCTTAGCTATTAAGGCATCTTAAGCCCCCGCCACCTGCCTCACTGCCATCCGACTGTGCCCTGCCCCCGTCAGTCCGGGTGACCAGTTACCTGCTCAGCACCCTGGCCTCTCAGGCTCTCAACCTCGCCTCCTCTGTCACTCCCTCCCTGTCATCTCCCACATTCTAGGCCTCTTTCCTCCCAGGCTCCCCCGTGTTTCTTCTGCTTCCCCTCCAAGCTTAGCCCTGTCTCCCTCCTCGGCCCCTCTTCTGACCAGATGCTCTGACCACATCAGCCCTGGGTCCACCCATGGCCCCTGCTCTCTGGGCAGCTGAGAACTCAGAACAGAAGCACCCAGCTCCGCGTCCCCCTGGGCGCCTGCCCGCCTTCCCCGCTCGGCTTGCTCCCATTCGCACAGCAGGGATGTGAAAGCAAACAGGAGAAGAGGGATCCTCTTGCCGAGGCAGGTGCTGGCCATTCGCTCCCCTCCACCCCTTGCTGCCTCCGTTATTCCTAACCCGCAGCCTCACTTCTCCACTTGCTGGGCTTCCACCTGCTCCGAGCTGGGTTTTCCCTCCCCTTCTTTAGCTGGAACTGCCTCCAGGAACCTGCCCCCTCTGCCTCCTCACCTGTTCTTTCCCCAGCGCACCAACACCTCGTCACCAAAACCTCAGTGCTCTGCACTCCTGTCCCCGGTCCCCACAACCAGGGCCTGCCATCGCTCTGCCGGGGCGGTGCCACACAAAGTAGAATTCAAGGAAAAAATCTCGGGGACACAGCAAAAGCAGTCCTGAGAGGGAAGTTCATAGCACTGCGGGCCTACCTCAAAAACAAGGAAAAGTAGTAATAAACTATATAACGCTGCTACTTAACGAATTAGAAAGAGCCCTAGCCAGTTTGGCTCAGTGGATGGAGCGTCAGCCTGCAGACAGGGTTCCCGGGTTCGGTTCCAGCCAATGGCACATACCCGGGTTGCGGGCTCAATCCCCAGAAAGGGGCGCGCAGGAGGCAGCCGATCAATGATTCTCTCTCATCATTGATGTTTCTATCTCTCCCTCTTCCTTTCTCTCTGAAATCAATAAAGAAATATATATTTTTTAAAGAATTAGGAAGAGAACCATAAGAAAAGCCCAGAGTAAATAGAAGGAAGGAAATAATAAAGATTAGAGCAGAAATAAATTACATAGAGACTAAAAAAGCAATACAACAGATCAATGAAACCAAGAGCTGGTTCTTTGAAAAGATAGGTAAAATTGATGAACAACTCCCTGCCAACAAGGTGGACAATGGGGGTGAAATGGACAAATTCCTAAAAAAATACAATCTCCCAAAATTGAATCATGAAGAATCAGAAAACTTGAATAGGCTAGTAACAACTGATGAAATTGAAACAGAAAAACAAAACAAAAAACCTTCCAATAAACAAAAGCCCGGGTCTGGATGGCTTCACAGGGGAGTTTTACCAAACATCCAAAGAACTAACATCTATACTCCTCAAACCATTCAAAAAAATCCAAAAGGATCACTTTAAACATCTTTTTATGAGGCTAGCATTATCCTAATTCCAAAACCAGATAAAGACACCACAAAGAAAAAGAATTACAGGCCAATATCCCCAATGAACATAGATGCAAAATTCCTTAACAAAATATTAGCAAATCAGAACCAGCAATATATTAAAAAGATCATACACCATGACCAAGTGGGATTTATTCCATAGATGCAAATCAATAAACACGATACATCACATAAGCAAATTGAAAGACAAAAATCACATGATCATATCAATAGATGCAAAAAAAGTATTTGACAAAATCTACCACCCATTTTTTAAACGATTTTTAAAATATAGTTTTAATTGATTTCAGAGAGGAAAGAAGAGGGAGAGAGAGAAACATTAATGATGAGAGAAAATCATCGATCAGCTGCCTCCTGCACACCCACTGGGGATTGAGCCCACAACCCAGGCATGTGCCTTGACCAGAATCAAACCTGGGACCCTTCACTACAGAGGCTGATGCTCCATCCATCGTGCCAAACCAGCCAGGACAATCCAAGACCCACTTTTGATAAAAGCTATCAGCAAAG